GGGTTAAGTTGCCACCTTTGATGCCAGCATCCCATATGAGAGTGGTTCAAGTCCTGGCTGCTCCACTTCCATTCCAGCTCCCTGCTAATGTGCCTGGGAAAGCACCAGAAGATGGCCCAAACACTTGGACCCCTGCTATCCATGTGGAGTTCCTGGCTCCTGCCTTCAGCCTGGCCTAGCCCCAGCTGATGCAGCCATTTGGGAAATAAACCAGCAGATGGAAGATCTCTCTTTTCTTTCTCTCTCTCTCTAACTCTAACTCTGCCCTTCAAATAAATAAATTTAAAAAATAAAAAGTCATAATACAGTTGTTAATACTGAACAAAATAGTAGTCTCTTAAAATTATCCAGTGCCTGGTTCGTGTTCAATTCTCTCAAGTCTTTTTGTTTGTTTTGGAGAGAGACAGACAAATGTAAACAGAAACAGAAATGCCTACAGTGATGGGTTGGACTGAAACTAGGAACTTAATCTGAATCTCCCACATGGGCAATGGGAAACTTCCCAGCAGGAAGCTTGAAGCAGGAGTGGAGCCAGGACTTGAATCCAGGTGTCCTTACTGACATATTAACTACTAAGCCAAATGTCCATCCCTCAAATGTCTTTTTACAGTTGGTTTGATTCATGATACAAAGTCCACAATGTATTTAATCTCTTTCCTATAACCTGTAACCATTTCTCTTCCTTTTTTTTTTCATATCATTTATTTGATAAAGAAATTAAGTCATCACACACTTGTCCCTCATTCGAGATTTGGCTGGTTATGTTCTTTTGGTGGTATTTAATGTATTTCTGAGAGTTAGGGGCTTGATTAGATTGATATTCAGTTATTTGGTGAGCAGAAATGTTTTATGGGTAGTGCTTTGTATGTCGCATCAGAAGACATGCTTGTCCCACTTTTAATGATGTTAAGATAAAATGATGTTAGATAAAATTCCCTATTATTAAATTTTTTATTGAGATAATTGTAGATTCATATGCCATTGTTGAAATAACACAGAGATGTCCAGTGCTCTTTACAGTTTCTCCAGTGATAAATTTTCAAAATTACTATTTATTACTATAACTAGGATAAGGACATTGTCCTTATCCCTCAGTCCTCAGTTTTAGTAGTAATTGTAATTTAGTTCTATAGAATTCATCACATGTGTAGATTTATGTATCTGCCACCATAGTTGAGATATTGGACAGTTCCAGTACCACAAGAATCCCTCATGTTGTCCTTTTATAGCCACAGCCATCTCCCTCCCACTCATACACACTGTTGTATGTATGACTAGTTTGTTCCTTTTTGTTGCTGAATAATTGTCCATGGTTTGTGTGTACCAAAGTTTAGCCATTCACTTCTTGAAGAATGGCTGGTTGCAGTTTTGGGCTTCTACAAATAAAGCTTCTATGACCATTTATATACAGGTCTTTGAGTGAAAGTCTTTATTTCTCTGAGGTAAGTGTCCAGGAGGACGATTGCTAGGTTATGTGGTAATTGATGTCTGATTTTATTAGAAACTGCAATTTTATATCCTCACCAGCAGTGTCTGAATGAACCCTCCACATTCTTGCCATTCTGATAGGTGTGTAGTGATATCACATTGTGTTTTTTTAAAAGATTTATTTTTATTTATTTGAAAGGTGGACTGACAGAGAGTTGGAAGGGGGCACGCACAGAAAGAGGTCATCCAGGGGCCGGCACCATGACGCAGTAGGTTAATCCTCTCCCTACGGCGCTGGCATCCTATATGGGTGCCAGTCCTAGTCCCAGCTGTCTCTCTTCCAATCCAGCTCTGTGCTATGGCCTGGGAAAGCAGTAGAAGATGGCCCAAGTGCTTGGGCCCCTGCACCCACGTGGGAGACCTGGAAGAAGCACCTGGCTCCTGGCTTTGGATCGGCTCAGCTCCGGCTGTTGTGGCCATCTGGGGAGTGAACCAACAAAAGGAAGACCTTTCTCTCTGTCTCTTTTTCTCACTGTCTGTAACTCTTAACTCTCAAATAAATAAATACAATCTTTAAAAAAAAAAGAGGTCCTCCATCCACTGGTTCAATCCTGAAATGGCCACAGTGGCCAGGACTGGGCCAGGCTGAACCCAAGAGCCTGGAACTCCATCCAGGTCTCCCATATAAGTGATAGGGTCACAAATAACTGGGCCATCTTCCACTACCCTCCCAGACACATTATAGAGAACTGTATTGGAAGCAGAGCAACTGGGACTTGAAAGGGTGCTCTGATATGGGATGCTGCTGCTGCAGGCTGCCAATTAACCCACCCGGCTGGGATGAGGCCCCCTCATTGGGGTTTTAAATTGCATTACCCTGGTGGCTAATGATGTTGGATATCTTTTTATATGCTTTGCAGTTGGTCTGTCTTCTTGGGTGAAATATTCTGCTCATGTCTTTTACTCATTTCCTAATCTGATTTCTTTGTTACTGTTCAGTTTTGAGATCTTTATGCTAGATATTAATCTCTGTCAAGTGTATGCTTTGAATATATTTTCTCCCAGTCTGTAGCTGGATTCTCATCCTCTTCACAAGGTCTTTTAAGGCCAAGGTGTTTTAATTTTGATGAGACCTGTTTTATCACTATTTCCTCTCCTGGACCATACTTTTGGTCCACAAGAACTTTAGCCTAGTCCTAGATCATGACAATTTTCTCCTTTATTTTTTTCTTAGATTTATTTTATTTGTTTGAAAGAGATAGGTAGAGAGAGAGGTCTTCCATCCGATGGCTCATTCCCCAGATGGCCGCAACGGTCGGAGCTGCGCTGATCTGAAGCCAGGAGCCAGGAGCTTCTTCCAGGTCTCCCACATGGGTGCAGGGACCCAAGGACTTGGTCCATCTTCTACTGCTTTCCCAGGCCATAGCAGAGAGCTGGATCAGAAGAGGAGCAGCCAGGACTAGAACCAGCGCCCATATGGGATGCCGATGCTTCAGGCCAGGGCGTTAACCCGCAGCACCACAGTGGTGGCCCCCTCTCCTTTGTTTTTTATAAAAAGCTTTATGGCTTTGCATTTAAGTCCATGATGCATTTTGAACTAATTTTTCTATAATGTTTGAGGTTTAGATTGTGGATTTTGTTTAGTTGCCTATAGAGGCCCACTTGTATTGGCACTGTTTGTTCATTTGAATCGAATTGCTTTTACACCTTTACCAACAGTAAGTTGAGAATATTTGTGTGGGTCTGTTTCTGAGTTTTCGCCCATCTACTTTTCCCCTGTTGAGTTTAGCAGCCATTGATGAACATCTATTACGTTATTATGGTTTGAAAATGGTAGTGGTCCATTAGTTCTTCACTTAGTAGCTGGAGTGCTTCTGTAAAACAGATTTTCTTCAATAACTCTGTGGTTACTCTGAGGTACAATTTGTATAGGAAAATGTAGGGAAAATGCTTGCTTCCTGCCTTTAATGTTTACCTGCTTGCAGAATAATGCCTTATTCCCTCTATCCTCCAAAGGTGACCGATAATGTGTGTGTAAGTATCATTATGAGCTAATGGATTCTGAACACATTTAATGCCCTTTAATCCAGTGCTATTATTGTTCTTACTGATACTCATGTTGGCTCACTTTGCCAGTAGAAGTCTACTCAAATTGGCTTCTGAGTCCATTTGACATAGCCCTGTGGTCTTGGACAACTTCCTTGTCATTTATTTGAAATCTAGAGTTACACAGAGAGGAAGACACAGAGAGAATTTCCATCCACTGGTTCACTGCCCAAATGGCCACAATGGCTAGAGTTGGATCAGGCTGAAGCCAGGAGCCAGAAGCTTCATCAATGTCTCCTATGTGGGTGACAGGGACCCAAGCACTTGGGCCACCTTCTGCTTTTTCAGGCACATTAGCAGGGAGCTGGATTGGAAGTGGAGCAGCCAGGACTTGATCTGTTGGAAGGCCATCATCACAGGTTGCTGCTCAACCCACTATGCCCTAATGCCTGCTCCATCTTAGACATTTCTTGCCCCTTACAGTCAGCCATTTCTCTAAGGATCCTGATTACTTTTCATGAGACATTATAAAGACCACAACCTGAATGTCAACTTTTTTTTAAGATTTTATTTATTTATTTGAAAGTCAGAGTTAGAGGGGAAAGAACAGAGAGAGATACTGGTCTTTCATTTGCTGGTTCCCAAAAATGGCCACAAGAACCATGGCTGGGCTAGACCAAAGCCAGGAACCTGTAACACTATCAGGTTGCCTACATTTTTGGATGGCAAGGGCCCAAGCACTTAGGCCATCTTGTGCTGCCTTCCTTGGCCATTAGCAGGGCACTGAATCAGACATGAAGCATCGGGGTCAGTGCTGTAGCAGGTAAAGCCACTGTCTGCAGTTCTGGCATCCCATGTGGGCGCCAGTTCAAGTCTAGCTGTTCCACTTCTGATCCAGCTTTCTGCTATGGCCTGGGAAAGCAGTGAAGGATGGCCTAAGTCCTTGGGCCCCTGTACCTGCGTGGGAGACCCAGAAGAAGCTACTGGCTCCTGGCTTCAGATTGGCTCAGCTCTGGCCATTGAGGCCATTTGGGGAGTGAACCAGCAGATGGAAGACCTCTCTCTCTCTCTCTCTCTCTCTCTCTCTGCCTCTGCATAACTCTGTCTTTCAAATAAATAAATAAATCTTTTTTAAAAAAAGTAGACACAGAGCATCTGGGACATGAACCGGCACTCTTAAAACTGTACTTGTATAAAAATGTAATTATTTATAATTATTGTATGTATGTGAAAGGGAAAAATAAGTCACAAGTTTATTCTGATTTTTAAATTCAAATTGAAGATCTTTGCCGACATTTCTTGATTTTATATTTCTGTGTCTTCTCTTATGCTGAAATATCTTGATGCCTGAGTGAATCATTTGAGACATAAATGTTTAAGGGCTGATTCTGTGGTTTTATAGCCAGGATACCCTGTTAGTAAAGTCTTCTTGGAGGAATGATAAGACTGGCTCAAACGAGCTTTGGAAAAAAAAAAAAAAGGATATCCTTCTCCATTTTAATTGTAAATCATATTATTTTAAATAGGTACAGCCCACGCTTGATGGAAAAAATTCTCCAAATGGCTGAAGGTATTGATATTGGAGAGATGCCTTCATATGACCTAGTACTGCCCAAACCTTCCAAAGGTCAAAAACGCCACCTCTCAACATGTGATGGTGAGTATACTTGTTTCTGGAAGGTGGGATTTGAAGAAACAGTGTGGCTCTTTTTAAAAACTGATATTAGTGTGATGTCCGATTTTAAGTAACATTGGTTCTTACACAAAGTTAGAGGAGTTTTAATTTTTACTTATGTACTTTTTTTTTTTTTGACAGGCAGAGTGGATAGTGAGAGAGACAGAGAGAAAGGTCTTCCTTTTTGCCGTTGGTTCACCCTCCAGTGGCCGCCACGGCTGGCGCCCTGTGGCTGGCGCACCGCGCTGATCCGAAGGCAGGAGCCAGGTGCTTCTCCTGGTCTCCCATGGGGTGCAGGGCCCAAGCACTTGGGCCATCCTCCACTGCCTTCCTGGGCCACAGCAGAGAGCTGGCCTGGAAGAGGGGCAACCGGGAAAGAATCCGGCGCCCCAACCAGGACTAGAACCCGGTGTGCTGGCGCTGCAAGGTGGAGGATTAGCCTAGTGAGCCGCAGTGCTGGCCTTATGTACTTTTTTTTTTGAGGATACTAAATAGAACTTAAAACTAAGAATACTGAAGATAAGCTTTAGTGCTAGTCTCCAAATCTATGCCATGGAACCTCCCTCTGAATAGAACAATCTTATACTGTAATCATTTGAGCATCTAGGTAACTAAATCTTCTTGGATGGGTCCATAATGGACCAGATTTTTACTGAACAATGTTACAGGGAGGAAGCTCTAGTGTCTGGGATGGTTTCCAAAGAGAGTTCTTCCATAGCTTTAAATTTGGTATCCCCCATAAATCAATAGTTTCCACCTATTATTTGTTCTACAAAAATAAAGTGTAGCAAAAACCTTTTTATGCAGAATAGGCCAGAACTAAGGTTTTGAAGTTGAAAACCTTTGGGAAAGTTTGATAATTCTTTTTCTTTGATTTTTAGTCATAACTATGTAAAGCACCATCACATTAACCAGCTCTGATGTAAATGCGTAAGGCTTTGTAAGTGCCTCTGCTCATCATCTCTGTTGCATTAGAGCCATCTGTTCCATCTGCAGCCCTTAAATGAGCTTTTCAGCATAGGTGGCATGAGATTGTATTGGAACATCCTTCCAGTACACTTCCCATTCTTTAGCTCATTTGGTGCAAAGGGATCTACCAGTCATGAGTAGCAGTGACTCATACATACTTGATACAAGTGTATGTTCTCTATCAAAAATCTTCCCTTACACATGGAAGGACAGGAAGCATCGCTTCTTACTCTGGAGTCACCCCTCGATACTTGAGTCCCTTCACCCAAATGACTTGAAGTTTTTGTGATGGCACATGTCTTGTACCAACAAGGCAGTTTGAAAATAATAATGTTGGTACTGATTTTCCTGCTTGGTTCTCTTGAAATATTCCCATTTTAATGAATTGTAAATTTCACTCATTCCATAGGTCAAAATCCTCCTAAAAAGCAAGCCGGTTCCAAATTCCATGCGAGACCTCGTTTTGAGCCTGTACATTTTGTAGCTAGTAGTTCAAATGATGAAAGACAGGAAGATCCTTATGGCCCTCAAACGAAAGAGGTAAATGAACAAACACATTTTTCCAGCATGTCAAGAGACATCTACCAAGATTACACTCAAGACTCCTTCAGTATACAAGATGGAAATTCTCAGTATTGTGATTCGTCAGGATTTATTTTCACAAAGGAGCAGCCTGTAACCGGCAGCATGTGTTTTGACAGCGGCAGCCCTGCCCCAAGCAGCGCATCACAGCAGGCGAACTCTCAGTCAGCTGCCGAGCCTTCACCGTCGCAGACGTTTCCCGAGTCAGTGGTAGCCGAGAAGCAGTATTTTATTGAAAAATTAACAGCGACTATCTGGAAGAACCTTTCCAATCCAGAGATGACTTCTGGGTCGGATAAGATTAATTATACCTATATGTTAACTCGCTGCATTCAAGCATGTAAGACAAATCCTGAATATATATATGCTCCTCTAAAAGAAATCCCTCCTGCTGACATCCCCAAAAATAAAAAACTTCTAACAGATGGTTACGCTTGTGAAGTTAGATGCCAAAATATCTACTTAACTACAGGTTATGCTGGCAGCAAGAATGGGTCCAGGGATCGAGCTACTGAGCTAGCTGTGAAACTCTTGCAGAAACGTATTGAAGTTCGAGTTGTCCGGCGGAAATTCAAGCACACAATTGGAGAGGACCTTGTGGTGTGTCAGATTGGCATGCTTTCGTATGAATTTCCTCCAGCTCTGAAACCACTGGAAGACCTGGTGGTGCTAGGTAAAGATGCTTCCGGGCAGCCAATTTTTAATGCTTCTGCCAAACACTGGACCAATTTTGTCATTACAGAAAATGCAAATGATGCAATTGGTATTCTTAACAATTCTGCCTCATTCAACAAAATGTCAGTTGAATACAAATATGAGATGATGCCCAATCGTACATGGCGTTGTCAAGTGTTTTTGCAAGATCACTGCTTAGCTGAAGGTTATGGAACCAAGAAAACAAGTAAACATGCAGCTGCTGATGAGGCTTTGAAAATTCTTCAGAAAACACAACCCACCTACCCATCTGTCAAAAGTTCACAATGCCATACAGGCTCGTCACCCAGAGGGTCCGGAAAGAAGAAAGATATAAAGGATCTTGTAGTGTATGAGAATTCTTCAAACCCCGTGTGCACACTGAATGACACTGCTCAGTTTAACCGAATGACAGTTGAATACGTCTATGAAAGGATGACAGGCCTCCGCTGGAAGTGCAAGGTGATTCTAGAGAGTGAAGTAATTGCAGAAGCAGTTGGAGTCAAGAAAACTGTCAAATATGAAGCTGCTGGAGAAGCTGTGAAAACCCTTAAAAAGACCCAGCCAACTGTCATTAACAACTTGAAGAAAGGAACTGTTGAAGATGTGATTTCACGAAATGAAATTCAAGGCCGCTCAGCAGAGGAAGCTTACAAGCAACAAATCAAAGAAGATAACATAGGAAATCAGCTGCTGAGAAAGATGGGTTGGACGGGTGGTGGCTTAGGTAAATCCGGTGAGGGTATCCGGGAGCCTATCTCAGTCAAAGAGCAGCATAAACGGGAAGGCCTTGGTCTTGACGTAGAGAGGGTCAATAAAATTGCCAAGAGAGATATTGAACAGATCATCAGAAACTATGCCCGCTCCGAGAGCCACACGGATTTGACTTTCTCTACAGAACTGACTAATGACGAACGGAAACAGATACATCAGATTGCCCAGAAGTATGGTCTTAAGAGTAAGTCGCATGGGGTGGGCCATGATAGGTACCTGGTGGTAGGGAGAAAAAGACGGAAGGAAGACCTGTTAGATCAACTCAAACAGGAAGGCCAGGTGGGGCATTATGAACTTGTTATGCCTCAAGCAAATTGAAAGCTTAACTAATTTATTTTGTAAATGCCTACGAGGCAGATTTGTGAATTAAAGAAATGCTACATGTTCTGGTTGCAGACTATATTCATTCTTAAGATGTTTCACCTTGTTCATTTCATAATAGTGCTTTATTATTAGATATTGGAATCCGAAGAGTTCTGTTCACTTGTATTAGCTTAACCCAGCAGATAATAATTGTGCAGTTTACTGTTGTGTCTTTGATATTGCTGTGTCCCTCAAGATTTTAGTAGTTTGTTTAAGCAAGAATACATATCCAAGTGGAATTTCACCCTGGTAAAGAAATTCTCATTTTAAAAGGCATAGCACAGCAATCTGCAACAATATGTAAAGTTGATATTAACCACCATAAACTGCAGTTTTATTTCCAGACTTATTGAAAATGTCAGATCATTTTGTATTATCAATCTTCATCTATGTGTGAATGTTTAACAATAAATCGTGCTGTATGTGTAAATGTCCTTACAAAGTGATGTAAAATTTTTCTTAAAGTAATTTTAGTGTTCATTTATTTATAACTTCTACCATGTGATTTCCAGAATATTGGAAGTAATTTACTGTATCTTGTGATATATGAGTTTTAACAAATTCTAGTCTTCATGCTGAGAGAGCACTACTTGAGAGAGCAATTGAAAAGTTTCACAAACTGACTCAGTCTGAAGAAAGGAAGCTTGAACTGTTCTTGGTGCCTTGCAGAGAGACTCACAGCAACTCTCCATTTTAGCTTTCACACGGTTTGGATGTACAGCACATCCAAGACAACCACAGCTGTGGTAGAGCTTGGTAAAAGACTGAGGATCCATTGGTGCTTTGATGAAAAGGTCAGTTGGCTGGTTCCTCTCTCAAAAAGCTTGTTAAGCCCGAAAAGCCAACTTTGTAACATACTTAAAACTGCTATTTTCGCTTATTTCTGGAATGTAAAAAATGTATAAAAAGACTTAGTGTATGCTTCCTGAATAAAAAGGAGCCAATGTTGATCAAGATGGTGGTGTGCCTGTTTCTGAGCAGCAGCCTCGTAGCAACACTTTCAGTCCTTAGAGAAGGGAAGTAGTGTCTGCACAGAATCTTTCAGCGCCAAAGCACATGTGAGGAGTGGAATGATTAGCAGATAGGAATCAGTCACCTATCACATTTTTCATATGGACTGACATGTTGACTTCAACTAAATCTTGGGCTATTCACTTTTATGCGATTTTGGTTTTGTGCCTCAGGTAAATCAAGTCTTAACTTCACCTGTAACAGCACAGATGAATATTGATAGTGAAACACCTCCAGTGAAATGGTGTTCAGGACAAGTAGGTTATTTGCAGTATCTTATAACATTACGTTTGATATGTAATTGGCCCACAATAAGCAATAATTGTCCCCTCTTTTTTGTATTTTACATTAAATGAGCATTATAGTTTAATGAATATTTTTAAAATCTAAAGGGATTAGCCTTACAGCTGGATCTCTGTGACTTCTAGTCTCCTATAATGACTAACACAGCATGTGGTATTTGCTTTCCACTCTCTTCCTTCCTACACTGTGAGGTCTTTCCCAATGTTGATAGGAAAAAAAATGAGGTATGTGTTTATTTGGGCACTTGATATTTTAAAAACTGGTGAAAAGAACTAAGCTAACATCTTTATATAGTTGGTAGTGTTTGTTTTTTTCTTTTTAAACTATAAGGTGCATGCTGACCTAGAGCTATGATGAGTGAGTCAGGAAAAAACTTGATTTCTTTGAATAAGAGTAGCTGTGGGTATTAAGGGATCTGAGAACTTGACTCATTTCTGTCTTCACATTTCTTTCTCCTTCCCTAATGGAGTTTTCTTAAAGAAAAGATAGGAAGTGTTACATATAAATTGGTTTGTTTATATGAGTTAAACAAAACATTAATATATACAGCTTAGAAGGCTCAAAAGTAATTGGGCCGAGAATATACAAATTTGGTTCCTGGATTTGAGGAGCTAGACTTCCTAACTTCTTAGAACAAATTTGGCAGTGATGTGGATGCAGGATTAGAGTGAAGTCACTAAACCCTGAGAATAAAATAATGTTGAGAAGTGGGGTTGGTAAGAATGAGCTGCTGACAACCTTGCTGTTCCATTTTGTTCTTTTAATTGATTCCTTTATTTTCCCTTTCTTTGAAATAGCAGGGACGTTTAACCCAGTAACCTTGCTCTAAAACCTGCATAGGTATATGAACAGTTGGAAGTTTTATTTGGATTGCTTGCATATGTTACACTGGGGAACTAACTATTCCTCTCCTTTGATTGTAAATGATGGGCATATCATTGATGTATTCCAGTGCATTCGCATTGTTATGAGTAACCCCTGAAGCTGAAGCTGGGGTCCTAAATAAAGGACTCTAATTACAACTTTGGTTCTTCATCATTCCCCATATCAGCAGGTGCAGAATTGAGGACTTAAGTTCCAATCTGAGTGCCATTTGAAAAGGGACCTTGCAAGTCCCTTTTACTTTTCGTTACAGGCAGGTAGCAAATTATAAAGAGGGGAAAGAGGCAATCAACCCTGAATGTTCAAATTAGTAGTTTGTGGTGCCTTATCTGTGGACATGGTGTTTTGGGAGGTTGTGAGGTTTTAAAAGGATTGTCCTATGAAAGATGCTGGGAATAGTTCTTAGGTGTACAAAATAAAATGTTAAATCTTCCACTCCTAGTCTTAAATTTCCTCAAGTATATTAATAGTGTCAGTGTTCAAGGTACTCAGTCACAGCAGGATGAGTAAGTTAATGCAAAACTACCCACCAAATAAAGACAACTTAATGTGATTCTACTTTGAGGCAGAAATGGACTGAGGGAAAATATTAGGCACACTTAAGGGCATTGCTCCTAGATGAAACAATCCAATTGATATGATGTCCAGTGCAGATTGAACTCTCCCACATTAAGGCTTAAGTATGGGGAATGGGGCACATGCATAACAAGGACTTGATTTCATTTAGACTCCCATCCACTCAAACAAGTACCAAGAGGTGATAGTCATAGTCGCTGTTGATGTCTCTTTAAGATCAGATGGCTTATTCTTCAGAAGCAAGATTTTGTTTAAACAAGGTGATAGACTTTACATAGGATTTAAGACACCATTTTATCAAGTTTGATATTGTTTATTTTTAAGCTAGGGCATTTTATTTAAGGACCAACAGGTTAGGTCTTGGTTTCTGAAAGTGTTGATCAATACCCAGGTTTGTTTATTCTCACCTCTTACAACAATTTCATTCCTTTGATTGGCTGTAATGTATGCTGAATTGACTTCATCTTATTTAATCATTTTATATATTTTTAAAGATTTATTTATTTGAGAAGCAGAGAGGTCCTCCACTTCCTGGTCCACTCCCCAGATAGCTGCAATGGCCGGAGCTGGGCCGATATGAAGCCAGAAGCTTCTTCCAGGTCTCCCATGCAGGTGCAGGGGCCCAAAGACTTGGGCCATCTTCTACTGCTTTCCCAGGCCATAGCCAAGAGCTGGATCAGAAGTGGAGCAGCCAGGACTCAAACTGGCACCCACATGGATGCCAGCATTGCATACGGCAGCTCCACCTGCTATGCTATAGCACCGATCCCTAATTTTATATTGTTAAAAGATTTTTTAAAAGCATTAACACTTAAGACTGAAAAGAAAAAATTATTCTCTCCAACAATATCTACCCTTTTTGTTTTTCCACTCCCACAATCAGTATTGTTGCTTTAAGAGGTGGGGGGAAATGAGTAGGTATGAAATCCCCAAGGGCCAGCGCTGTGGCACAGTGGATTCAAGCCCTGGCCTGAAGCACCGGCATCCCATAAGGCCGCCAGTTCGTGTCTCAGCTGTTCCTCTTCAGATCCAGCTCCCTGCTGTGGCCTGGGAAAGCAGTAGATGGCCCAAGTCCTTGGGATCCTGCACCCATGAGGGACACCCAGAAGAAGCTCCTGGCTCCTGACTTTGGATCAGCTCAGCTCTGGCAGCTGTGGCCATCTGGGGAGTGAACCATCGGATGAAAGACCTCTCTCTCTGTCTCTACCTCTCTGTATAACTATTTCAAATAAATAAAAATAAATCTTTTTTTTTTTTAAAGAAATCCCAGTAAGAGTTAGTACTAAAATTCATACTGAGCTAAAATGTAATTATACCTTGACTGCAAAATTTTAAGGTTATTTTTATTTACAAGTTTTGAAAAATGTACATTTTTTACATGGGTTACTTGTGCAAAGTTAGATTTAGAAAAGCAATAAATGCATAAAAGATAACAATGGAATATCAGACAAAACATTTACAAGCCTTGTCCCACACTGCTACTTAAAGGTACTATATCTAAAAGTGTAAATATTGAAAGAAAGATTGCTGACATTGGCTTTAAGGTTGTCATAACGTTGAAAAGGAGGAAGAAACTAAAGCATGCAGCGGTAACTCAGAATTTGAGTGGAAAATACTTTGCCACAGATATGCTCCCTTTGAATTAAGTCAAACTAAACAACAAAAAGATGGAGGACTGTAAGTTTATCTAGGGCAACTGCACTCCTTTAGAAAGACTAAAGGATCTCCAACTTTTCCCTAGCTCCAAAATTGATGAGTTTCCATTCCTCTGCTCCCACACCTCTTTAAAAGCAAAACCCTAGAAAACCGGTGTTCTGAAACTTAGCATGGATGTAGCTAACCACTGTCTTGCAAGGAGAGGATGTGTCAGGTACTACAATGGCTGTACTAATTTGGCTGCATCCTTCAACATTCTTCCTACCAGGAAACATCATCTTATAATTCATAAGATTGTATCGGAATTTTTGGCCTCCATTCCCCTTTCAAAACTAATGTTTGGATGGCTTGTTTCCTTGCTCTCTAGGCCACAGTCTAAACACTTTTAAACCCAATACAAGTGAAGGACCAGCCAGGATGAAACACCTCAGCCATCACTTTGTTTAGAGTAGTATCTTCATCATAAAGCTATGCATAAGAAACCACTTGTTAACAATTCATTTAAAAACCTTACTGTAAAGTACAGTAACAAATAATTGCCAAAGACTGGAAATGAGATACAACAGAAAAGGAATTAAGCATTAGTAATTGTTGCAAGTAACCCAGGTACAGTACATTTGATGTCACAGAGGGTGTTGCCTGGTGTTCAAGGAGAGGGGAGAAGGGCTAGGAACAGTTCGGCAAGGGAAGATGGAAACAGCACAACAGCTTTTTGCTTTTAATAAAGTAAATTAATGACAATGAGGAATAAGAAGGTGACAAATACATCAATATATTTTTTTCTTATGGTTACTTTCTTTTGCTCCCTCTGGGGTCAACAATCACGCCAGCTCTGTTCTACTATGGCAGAAACACGCTTTTCATATTCCCGCTTGTTCTCCTGGTACAGCTGAGCAGCCTGGCTGTTTGCTGGACTATTGGGATTTGGTTCATCCAATAGAGACTGTAAAGAACAAATTGAAAATGTCAGTTCCTCAGTGCAAGAAATACACTATATAAGATAGTAACAATTGTCCTAAGTCACAGCTAAATTTACTGTCTGTACATTACATTAATCTGTTAGTGTCTATGCAAATAATGTGTTTTCTGGTGGCCTGGGTCTGAATGGTCTACCTTTTACCTATAAAATAAGTCTTTGCCCAGAATTAAAAGGCCTATTAAAGTTATGACTTTCAAAAACAATTACTAATATAAATACATTAAAGGTCGTAGTTATATTGAGAAAAAACTCACCTGTATGGATGTTAAAATGGAAGATACATCATAGGTTGGACTCCAGCGGTTCTGAAGTATGTCCAGACATATACTACCATCTGCATAGACTAAGAGTATAGATGTAGATATGTTAAAGTGAGACCACTAAGGTTTTAATATTAATTAAAGACAGAATCAAGAATACTTTACTTTTGAAGTTGAAAAAAATATTCCTAGCCTGCTTCCCAGTTAACTGCCTAAAATGACAGGTCATAATCATTACCCATGAAATAATCAGGGTGATCAAAAAATGTCAAATGTGATAGGGATAAAGCTAGAAAATACTTAGTGCACATTCTTCTGAAAAGACTGCCCCATTATACAGGAAATCAAACACATTTTCTAACAGGGTTCCTAGCCATCCATTGACCTTTTGGCAAATTCACTCCACCAAATTTGTAAACTGTATTTCCTACCTGAAGTAACACAAGATAGCTCAGGGGACACAAGGTTTCATTTTGGCATAAAGATATGGGTCAGGACATCTATATCTTGCAAATGTTCCACGATAACTCTGATAGGCATCTGATATTGAAAACTACTGTTCTAAATGCCAGTGAAAATTAGAACACAAGAGTAACCCAATCTCGCCTAGCATTAAAAGGAAATCTTATTTTTGTCTGACAAGTAAATGGCAAAAATCGTCGAAACCAGGAGGCCCTGAGACTCTAAGCAAAAGGAAAATACCTTCACTGCTTCAACTCAAGGACTACAGATCTAAACAGCAGTACATCACCACAAACAAGTTCAGTTTCAGGAAAGAGCAAGATGCCTAAACAAATACTCAAGTATTAGAAATAAGAAATGTGGAATACTTCCATAACAAACACTGAGATAGTTTAAAATACTCTATAAAGGTGATACTTGCCATTTGGATGAAACATCTTAGAGACAAATCTAACCGTGGGTGGCTTGTTTGGATATTCTTCAGTGAATTCTATTGTAAGTTTGAATGTTCCTGTAGTTAGAAAAGAAGGAGTTAAGTATTTATCACTTTTCTCAGTAGTATTTTGTTTTTAATGCTGTGTGAGTCTTTTCAAGTATTACATGACATAATGTACAGATAAAGGGTAAGAGAGAAAGAAGGTAACAAATACAGCTCTAGGAATTTCTCTACAAAGGGAAAGATAGTTTAAGAACTACCACCCAAAGGTGATGGGTTTTTGTTCGGCCATTTTTCTCCCCCAATCTTGACAGCCACCATAAACTCAAAATTACGCCTGCAGGACAGCTTCATCCACTGTTCATTTGGAAAACATCCTTAAAATAAATGACAAGAAGCCAGGCCCAAATTTGGGCCTTCTTCCTTTAGAAAACTGAAAGAGCTCAAAGGCCTATTTTAGTCAGCTGCCATCTTCAACTCTCCAGTGATTTTTAAATGGACTAGAAAGAATGAAAGCACAAAGGTTCAAAACCTGTGCTGGAAATACAAATCCATAGTCAAGTTATTTTTAGAACAGAAGGGAAGAAGCATAAAAGCGTTCACTGGGTTTTTTTTTTTCATGTGATAGTGACTCCGTGATGAATACCTAATTGAATTTAAGCTACAGCAAACTTTATAGTCATTTTCAAAAACCCTTAAGTATTACTCAGAAGGTACTTCACTATAAAATTAACTCAGTCATTACCTCATGGAGGGAATTAGCAGCAGAAATAATTTTCAAAATCACATTGGGTTTAGAATGCATTTATGACTCCAGAAATATATCTTTCTAATGACATTTGTTTAGACTACTACTATTGAAATTCTTTTTTCTGAATGTGTCAACCTAAGGTACAGGAGACCCTAACGCATACTAGTTTACAGACCTATCTGGATCTCATTAAGAAGTGTAGGCTATTGTTATGTGGGGAGACCATGTTCTTCAAAATGTTAGTTTTAATTTGGTTTGTTAATAAATTTAAGAAAACAACTGGATTTTTTCTAGGTTGAAATTTTGTCAAGTAAACTCAAAGGAGTTAGTTACCCTCTGGTATAAGGTGATGCATGTTCTACTACGTTACTCAGGCCCATTTAATAAGTTACTTATTCCAATACAATAGACCACATTTCAGATAGTATAATTTATTACTGGTTCCTTCTGAGTTAGCCATTTATTTCCTTCTTGCTCCCCTCAATTGGTTTATCACTGCTTAAGAAAAGAAAATAGGAGAATCATTGTACTGCTACATCTGTTATATAACACCAGAAAGTTGTTTCCTACTAGCAAGCTCATGGGAAACAATTTGCCAACAAAGTTGCACATGTGGTGAAGGTGCAGCATACTTTAAAATGCAACATATAGAGACAAGTTTCCCAAACAATTGTTACTCTCTAAACTTTTCTTCTGAAAGCCAGGTCTGAAGATTCCCTGCATTATGACTAAGGAAAGAAAGCAAAATATTATGGACCCGACAAACAAACTATAGTCCACCACCTGGTCATAAACCTTCCTCTTTTAGAGGAAGAAAGGAGAATTCTTCCTTTTCATTATTATTGCCATTATGATATACAAGAAAAAGTGGGAATGTCAGAGTTGAAAACTTTGAGCTTCCTTATATATCTCAAGTGTAAACACTTTCAATCAATGCTGGAACCTGGTTAAATTATACGTAAGAGACTCAGCATTGAAGGGTTGCTCTAAAAGCACAGAGATCTCAGCTAGCTACCTGAAATTAAAGCCACCATTAAATATGACACCTAAAGGTGGTAAAGCACTACAGTAAGGCACAAGCGAAAACAGCAGGGTTAAGTAAGAGCACGGGCTTTGTAGTCAACCAGGCTTGGGTTCAAATCCTTGCTTTGCTACTTACTAGCTGGGAAAACTTGAGGAAGGTGTTCAACGTGAGTAAATGTCAAGTTCCTCATCTATAAAATGAATTCAATAATAGCACCCACCACACAGCATCACTATGAGGTTTAAACGAGGGAAATATGCATAGTGCCATAAAATAAGTGCTCCTTAACTATGAGCAACTGTTTTTGCTGGAATAATTCCAAAGCATCACTCTCTAGACCTGGCTAAAGACAAAAATCAAAAATCCAGATGTCTCTATCAGTAAGACCCAAATCTTATTCAAGGTAGATATTTAAAAGGAGGTATTTCATATTTTTAGCCAAATTAAACAATCAAACTCTTTAGTACAACCCTCAATGCAATTTCTGAGATCTAAATCAAATGATAAGGAAATTAAAACTCAGAGAATTAATATACAATTTGAGACTAGAGCTTACCCTCTGAATATTTAGATGGGTAGGCTCTAAAATAACTGAAAATGTGGGCCTCACCACTGTTACAATCTCTATTGATTTTGCTTATCTCCCTGAAGAGGCCAAAAGATTGTAAGGAAAACCCATCTACACACAGAGACCAAGAGAATCATGTAAATATGTTAAATGCTGGTGTGTGGCAATAAGGAGTGATGTGATTGTGAACTAGTGAGTTCTGATTAAAGACATTCACAAATTCAAAAATTCAAAAATGCTATGTTGGCCAAAGACAACACCTCTGCAGGTGTTTTCTACCATTTGGCCACCAGTTCGTGACCCCTTAGGAGCAAAGTACATGTATTTAAACATTTTTTTCATGACCTTAAAATTCTGATTTATTTAAAGATAATAGCCCAAACTTTTTAGCATAAGATTTGTTTACCCTAAGTGGGCTTTAAGAAACTCAATTTGAAAAAGAATTAATACTCAAATTCTTAAGAACACACCTATTACAAAAGCAGATACTAGTAGTTTGCCATTTGTATTAACAGTTGATAGATGATGATAGGAATATCATATTCCATAACCTTGGTATTCAGCATGTATACCAAGCTATATGGATGAGGAAGCATTTCTCCCCAACGTTTTGGTACTGTAAACTCTTGAGAACATATACCTCTTAATTCAACAGTTCTTTTTTCTAATATTGCAGCTGTTCCAGAAATGTCCACAATGAATGGTTTACAAGGAAGAAGGAAAAGTAGTCTGGGGGGGATCTTAATTTATAGACTACATTGGAAAGAGCAAAATCAACTATGTCAGTTATTCCTAATCAAGTCTTTTGCCTAACAGCAAACTCTTCAACTGTAAATAAGGGGTATTAAAAATGGGGAAAAATATATTTCTTTGTAGTCACAGCCAGTGTTCTAGACACCTGAGGAGCATCCCTGGGTAACAACAGAATCATAAAAGAGTACTGCCATTTAGCCTGCGTAATTCCCTTCAGTAATGCCAGGATGGATACACATCATCAAAAATAGAGCCAGTAATGTCAGAGGGGACAGTTCCAGGTAGATAATGGATTCCATAAGTACCTTTTCAATTCATACCACTTAAAAGAAGAGAAGCACCCTTGAAATATTAAAGTAGCCAACCCCTGCCAGTGATGTACTATTAATAAAGCTGTGCCTAGCATAACGCAGTCTGAGTAAAATGAAAACGGAAGCCAGTGAAAACAAAGCCCACCAGAACTGAAGCAAATAACAGTTTATCTGCACACCGAGCTTTGCTATAAAGAACTAGCACACATTTAGTAGAGGAAAATTAAGTCTACCTAGCTCTTGCTACATATAGATCAGTTCCAAGGATTAACTGCACCAAAGTAGTATGACCTTAGTATCACTCTGTCCTGTTATCATTTACTTTTATTGCAGCACTGAAGAGCAGTGATATTTACCCAGGGGCATGAAGGTAAAGAGGAAGCTAAAAGTATTCAGGTGACCGTCCACAGTTTCCTAGGGAAATCTGAGCTTTGAGACAGACTGTAGAACTGGTTGATAGTGACTGACAACATTTTGGGAACTGGGAGCATAAAAAAGGCATCTGACTCAGCAATATAAGCATGGATTAAGTAGTTTACAGAGATGTATTTGTTCCCACCTCCATACCAAGGGGGGTGTGTGTATAGGTGTATCAAATGCTATACAACCAAAGGAATATAAATCATTGGGGAAAAAAAATTTTCCTCCTTAAAAATACTTCAAATATTAAAGAATTTCATGAATTCAAATACATTTAATAATTGAAAATGTGTTAAACTTTCAAAAATAATTAACTATACATAATACACACACAACTGAGTGCATATAAAACTATGTCAATGTCAATTTTTCTGGTTGTGACATTATAGTATTGTCATTCAAGAAGCTACCAAATGGGAACTGGCTAAGGGGTATACAGGATCTCTTGTATTATTTCTTGCAACGGCACATACATCTGTAGAAAGTTTTTAAAAAAGCAATTAGCATGTGTGCTTAGAAGTTAAAAATGTTACTTACATACATGTAGTATGTTCAAGTAGGTTAAACATGGTCAAGAGGGTACCTTAAGGTTAATCTCAATTCTGAAGCTGCTTTGTTTGAGATTACTGATTTTAGTATCTTGATGAAAGCACACTCTCAAAATTCACTTAAAAATAAGAAACAATACTATACTCAAACTAGGCATTTAAGGGCATCCTGGTGTAGCGAAGATGCCGGTCAATGTCAGATTGTAGAAACTGGACAGTTGTGTGCAAGGGATTCCTCAATCTATTCAGCATCCAAGAAATACATATTAGATATCTACTGAACACGATTCCTGCCCCCTGGGGTTGAGTGCTGAAGCAGGTGGCCCCTGGGGTCTCTGCTGGCAGCACCTGGTTGGGTTTATACTAATTCGGTGTCTTGATGAGAGACTGAATTGAAGAGGCTCCCAGCCCACATCTCAAAAACCCTTAACACCAGTGCTCTGACACTCCTTTGAAGAAGTGGCTGCCTTAGCAGGTTTTCTAAAAGGGTAGAAAGCAAGAGAAAGGGTGAAGTTCTAGTCAAAGAGACAAATATCCAGAGCAGCCTGCCACACATCGGATTCTGCTCAGGCCTTTAGTAAGCAGAGGCTCGGCAGAAGCAGGTGCCGAAGTAGGAGGCACTTCTAGGATGGCTGGGAACCCTCCCCCCCCGCCCCCCCCGAGGATCAGGCTCTGAAAGGTGAGTAAAGAAACTCTTACCATCCTCAAATGGGGTCCCCTCGGGCCTGCAACACAGAGGAAAACAGTCAGTCCCTACTTAAGGGCTCCCTTCTTCCCGGTTTATCCTAGAAGGCTATTCCCAGCTCTCCTACTGCAACCTCTGGGCAACCACCTTCGCCCAGGTGGGAAAGCCACCACAAATAGATGTTTGGGCTCAGACACAGGGCAGGCCGCCGCGCCCAACAGCACCACTCCTCACCCTGCCCCCCACTAGAACCCCAAACGGTTCCCCTAGCAGCGGGAACCAAGCTAATGGAGGCACAGGCTCCGGGGAGTTGTCTAGGCCTAGGCAGACCCAAACCTTTCCCTTTCACGCCCCGCCTTCGTTAGGGGCCTGCCCCAGGGTACACAGTGAGCTAGGTAGCGTCACCCATCCCTGGCCACCGCCTGGAACGCAGACTCACCCAAAAATGACCGCATTCCAAACCATTATGTTGTTCTCAGAAGGAGCCCCGCTGACTCCAGCTGGAGGATCCTCCTGTAACCTTCAGAGAGACAGACAGGAGCCCCCAGCATCAGCCACTGGCGCTGGCTGCCGTTTGTGGGCCCCCTCCCCCGGGGAGCCTCAGGACCCGCCCTGAGCCCCGGCAGGCAGTCCCCGGCCTCGGCTGTCCCTGAACGGTTACCTCTTAAAGTCCCGCATGAGGCGCCGGCGAGCCGGGGTGGACATATCTCTCGCCGGGTCAGGGGTGGGGCATACACCGGGGTCTCGGGTCTCTGCGGAAGCTAAAGAGGTCGAAGAGGCTACAGAAGTCGAAGAAGGTGAGGACGAAGCACCTAGAGGAACGGCACTGCCCCTCCGAAGTCGAGGGTCGGTCTGGCGCCGGCTAAGCACCACCCCGGAGTAGACGGGGGCTGAACCAACCTGGAAGAAAAGAGAGGGGGAGGGAACGCCGGGCAGGGCCGTACCAAGGCGGGGCGGGGGGGGGGGTGGACGCACACGACGAAAGTTGCTTATGTCATTAACCCCCAGCAGCAGACAGGGAGTGGTGCGGGCAGGGTCCCGCGCGAGGCAAGCGGTGGGGCAAACGAAAACCCACGATTCACAACGATTTAGTCGTGGAACGGGGTCCATCGTAATTTGCCGATTCTAAGACGGATCCTGGGAAGTTTTCTGCTGTTTACTTTTTCCTTTCTTGCTTTTAGCATTTGAGACCAGATCATTTATTAAAGTGCTCAGTATGGCTGGGGAGGAGGAGTGCGGTGGAGGTGTGAGGGAGAGATTGGAAGATCCCAAACTAGGAGGAAGATGGAATGGGCGACGGGGGATGGGGGAAGGCTGGGGGGGGGGGGGGCAAAACTGGTTCTCATAAAGCGGAACTGTAGAGGGTGGACGCGCAGCGGGGCGGGGTGTGTGTGTGTGTGTGACCGGTTAAAATCATGGAAAATCGAAAGAATAAATCGGCTTTGACTATGAAAAGGACCCTTTGCTAACGGATGATAATGTGCACTTTTCAGGTCTCTATAGTTTAGGCCAATGATCACCCCAAACAGAATCAAATGGCGTTGTGTTTCCTCGGGGAGGAAATGAGACCTTAAAGCAAGCGGAACAGAGTGTGTGTGTGTGTGTGTGTGTGTGTGTGTCGGTGTTTGTTTCACTCTGGGCACTCACAATTTGGCTCTGGAACCACATTTCCCCTTGGCAGTTCACCGAGCCAAGCGGCTACTATATGTTCAGAAGAGTCCAAGGTATGAGAGTATCCGACTGCAGAGAATTGGAAGGACAGTAGATCTGAAGTAAAAGTAGCAGTCAGATGCACGTGGAAAAGCTGCAGTTTGCAGGGAAGAGTCACAGTTAGTACGCGGACCTGCAAAAGCAATAACATTCTTAAAGAAGAACTTGTAAAGGTCAACCCAAAATAACATAGAAGGTAGGCAAAATACACATTTTAAAATTTTTGAAAATATGAGAGAGCTAGGTTTGCATTAAATCATGGAGAGTGTGGAATGCCAAGCTAATGGATTCCTTGGAAGGTGGTTGAGCAGGAAAGTGACATCATGAGAGTTGTGTTACTCAGAGACTGGTCCCCGGAGAGCTGGAAGCCTCTTGCAGAATTCTAGGAGAGAGATCCTCAGCTACCGGGTAGGAGTGAATGAAGAGGCCTTGGCAGCAGATGGAATGTGGGAGCAAGAGAGGAAGGAATCAACAATGACTGAAGCGCTAAGTCTCAAGATAACTGGGGCTTGGAAGGTGCCATTAACACAGTTAGGAAACAGACTAGAAGCAGGAAGGCTAGTTGAGAGGCTATTTCGGACAGGACTAACTAAGTTCATGGGACTAGTGAGCCATCACCATGAAGATGTCCAGGAAGTGTCACATATGTAGGAGTTTGTTTCTAACATGAGAGGTGGGAGGCACTTGACAATGTTAGTGATTAGCTGCGGCTTAACAACAGGTACTTTCAAGGCCAAGGGTTTATATGTCCCATTAACTCCAATATATCAATTAAGACAAGTCTTCCTAATAACATCACATTATGGCTGTGGTGGGAAGGGGGCACAAAAATAAATTCTTTAAAGCTCCTTTTTCTATCACTTAGAAACTTGCAGTCTATTATCATACACCTAATGAAATCAACAAAAGTAAACTCTACAAAAACAAGTGCATCATTTTTCTTTTACTGCTAAAACAAATTACCACAAGTTGTTGGCCCATTCAAGTTCCTTGTGGTCATAAGACTGAAGTCCCTATGTCCTTGCAAGCTGCCACCGGGGGAGCATTCTCAGCTCCTAGGGCCCTCCCGCATTTCTTGCCATGTGGTCCACTCTAACTTCAAAGGCAGCAACAGAGAATTTCTCTCTGATCCAATCTCTCCAACGCTTTGAATCTCTCTTTTCAGGAAGAGCCCAGTTCACTTTAAGGGCTTATCTGATTAAGTCAGGCTCACCCTGGGTAATCTCCCTATGTTGGTATCATCTGATTTGGGACCTTAATTACATCTGCTAAATTTCTTCACAGCAGAGACAAAAATGGCGTTTTCTTTAAAAACCAGGATAAGGTGCATGTGCATACCAAGGGCCAAGGATCTCAGGAGGGGATGGCATGTTAGGGTTCTGCTGACGCCAGCAGCAGCAGCAGGAGCCATAGCACTCGCATGTGAACCCAACGATGCTGGAACATTGCCCAGCAGAGGAATCTTCAGTCTGCTGGGGTCAGGGCAAGCTTCTGGAAATGTATCTACCTCAATTTCTTTCAAAAGAAATGCAAGCAGAGCTGGAGAGAGAAGAACTCAGGCAGTTTATACAAGGGCAATGGAATGAACAAGGGCATGGGGCTAGACCATATTCCAGAGATAGTGGGCAGATTAGCTTGGCTGGTGGAGAGAGTCTTTGCTGGGGGAATGATGAGACCTCAGCTTAGAAAAATTTGGGTGACAGAAGTTGATTACATTCCTTCAGATATGAGGAAGAGGGATGTAGGTGTGAACGGCAGCTTTTACAGGTGTTTGAGCATGAGAGTGTGGCGTCACATATGTCCTGTCGAGAAACAGTGTGTCCTGTATTAGAGGGTGTGAAAGGGCCTGAGAAACCTCTGCTACTACATATAAATGTCTGAAATTAATTAAAGGCTCTAAATGTGTTTGAGTCCATTGTGGATTTTTCTGGGGTTTTATTTGAAAACCCTTTTTCTCTTCCTTTTTTTGGACTACAAGGAAACTAAAGAAAACTCAGGAGCATGAACTAAGGGAGTTTGGAAGCTCAATGGCACCTGTGTGGGAATAGCATTCTCTAAGTGCCGAATGGAACGGCACTGTAGCAACACTGTGCCCCCACCTTCCTCATCAAAAGCAGGCTTCTCACAGCAAGGAGTAACACAGAAGATTGCCTCCCAGCACAAATGACTATCAGACTAGAACATACTAACTATAGCACAGTTGGCCAAGCATTCCTTCCCACCCCATCTCAGTTTGACTTCTTGAAGAAATACCCTCATCACAGCTAAGCACCACCCCTACCCAAGAGCAGAGGTCAAAAAACAAGAAGTGCTTTCCAAGTAAGGGAAAAAAAGGTACTAGTAATGTGGCTGGACGTTTTCACAGGTCTTGACAAACTCAAGGAAAAGAAGGAATTCTAAATTGGCCACAGGCAAGGATTTGAGAGTTTTCTTGAAAGGGAGGACTGTGAGATATGGGAATACGTGACTAGGGAAATTGTGAAATTTCATTCCTGAAGATTTCAAAATGCAGAATAGGTTCTGATTTTCCTGAACTATTTTGGACTAGACAAGACTGAACAAACAATTATTTTCTGGGTTATGAGACTTCGGATTTGTATTTCTGTTATCCAGTGAAGGCAAAGACTTTTACTTTCCTATAGTTTCCACATCTTTTGATAACATTTAGTATAAATGGTAGAAAGAACAACAAAATAAAATTGAAAAGTCTCTCAAGGGCCGGCGCTGTGGCACAGCAGGTTAATGCCCTGGCCTGAAGTGCCGGCATCCTATATGGGTACCGGTTCTAGTCCCGGCTGCTCCTCTTCCGATCCAGCTCTCTGCTATGGCCTGGGATAGCAGTAGAAGATGGCCCAAGTCCTTGGGCCCCTGCACCCATGTGGGAGACCCGGAGGAAGCTCCTGGCTCCTGCCTTCGGATCGGCACAACTCTGGCCGTTGCAGCCATCTGGGGAGTGAACCAGTGGGTGGAAGACCTTTTTCTCTCTGTCTCTACCTCTCTCTACAACTCTTTCAAATAAATAAAATAAATCTAGAAAAGAAAAGTCTCTCTTGACTCCAATAGTCTCAAAAGTCAAAATAATTACTTAGAGTCTTGTGGTGAGAAATTACCCTGGATTAAACAGGTAGGCCTAATACAATCACATTGGCCCTTATAAGAATGATTAGCAGAAGACAGTTCAGAGAGAAGGCCATGTGATGACAGAACTGGAGACAGGAGTGATACAGCCACCTGCCAAGGAGCTAAGGGATGCTGGATTAGAAGCTTCAAGAAATAAAGGATGTATTCTTCTCTGGCACCTCCAGAAGCAATCAGTCCTGCTGACACCTTGACTTTTGACCAGTGAGACTGGTTTTGGACTCATGATTTCCAAAACCAAGATTATAAATTTGTGCTGTCTTCAGGCATTCAATATATGAAACTCAGACACATGGCTACAGTGTTATATGTGGAAATTCAATCAAACTAACTACAGTGTTCATCGGACTATAACCAAATCCAGTCTGCCATCTTTTTTGTATAGCCTGCAAGCTAAGGATGGTTTTCTACATTTGTTAATGGATGAAAGAAAAAGAACATTTACTAATAATCATGACACATGAAAATTACATATAATTCAAATGTCTAAGTTTCACTGGGATGCAGCCATACCCTTTCACCCATGTATTGTCTGGGGCTGCTTTTGTACCAAAATGGCAGAATTGCGTAGTTGTGACAGACTGTGTGGTATCTCATCACTTCACCCTGTGGCGTGGTGTGCTACAAACTGCAGTGATGCAGTAGAACTTGATGGCGTTTTGAGTTCATGTGCATTGCCACATCATAGCTTTTTTAAAAAATGCAAATGCATATGTATAATGTTAAAAACGAGACAAACCTGTAGATTTTGAATGTAGTACTTTTTAAGGCACAGTTGCATGTGGATAACTTGTTTATGAAATTAGCTCTGGCTTTTGTGGCCATTTGGGGAGTGAACTAGCAGATGGAAGATTCTCTCTCTCTCTCTCTCTCTCTGCTTTTCAAATAAATAAATAAGTCTTAAAAAAAGAACATTTTCTGGATGAGAAGAACCACTCTGGGGCTGGTGCTATAGCGTAGTGGGTTAAACCTCTGCCTGCAGCACCAGCATCCCATATAGGCACCGGTTCGTGTCCCAGCTGCTCCTCTTCAAATCCAGCTCCCTGTTAATG